ACCAGTTGTGCCCCTGTGTTACCTTAGCTCAGTCAGTATCTCCTCCCTGCTCTACTTCCTCCCTGCCCTACACTAGAGCATTTGAAAAGGCTCAGTTGAGATTGTAGGAACATAAATAGAGGATGAAAGGGTGGTTTGATGGGTGGGGGTGGTTTGGTGTTTTTTGAGTTGGGGGGTGTAGGGATTGAAATCTGTAAAGGCTTGCGATTGACTTGGAAAAGCCGAGTTAAGTGAGTGGAACTGCACAGTATTTATCCTCGCTGAAAGTGCTGACGAGCTAAATGGATAAAAGTTTGGGACTGGCACTTCGCAAACTCCCTATACAATCGAGGCTTCAGTCTGATACTGTTTCTGTGATATAATATTAGTGATTCTGTTGCTTTGTCTGAAATGTCTCTGTCAATCGTGGATTGGCTCAGTGCAGTAAGTACAAACTCAGCTGGGGTCCAATCATGACACATCTATGTTTTCTGAGATATGGAGTTACAGCAGTAATCAAAATGTATAATGAAGGTTAAACAAGAGATGTGCCAACATTAGAAGTCATTTTAGCCTGGATAAAAGGTATGTATTTATGTTGGGTGAGGTGGGATCATTGCTGTTGAGTGCCAATAATGTTTGGTTAATGATCTACAAGTTACAATTACATTTCACCGCAGCAAATTGACGTGCGGCATCTATTTGGAAATATTTCTTCAAGTTCTCCCTGCCTGTTCCGTTTTCTATGTTCTGCCTAAGAACAATGATTCTTTTGTGTTTATTTTTCTTTCTATGATCTAGTTGAATTTTGTGTGCGTACAGAGGCAAACTTTCAGCTTCTTTAATTACTCACACTTACCTCATAGCTGTGAAAAAAGACAACCGTTCCATTCCACAAGTCGTTTTTTCTTTTCCTGAACTCAAACACAGCTGCCTCAGTGGGGAGAAAAAACTGAATGCTGCTTTTTCATCTGCGTTTGTCAGGCCTTTCCTCGTACAGGCCCGTCAGAGAAAAAGCCTCGGAAAAAGCAGATGGGCGAAGTCTGTGGTTACATATAAATTTGCAGAAATATGTAGCGGCCGTTGCGAAGGAAAGCTCTGTCATATTTCACCCACTCTAAGACAGGAAAAAAAAAATATAGAGGAAGCATGTGAGAGACCGAAGGCAGAAGGAGAAGAACTGCTGAGGTTTGTTGAGGTTGCATCCAGTGGGTTGTTGTCAGGACTCCAGTGGGTTGTCAGTTCATTCTGTGTTTCTTTACAGGCCTTTGCCCAGGAAGGGAGAGGCTGGCAAGATGGCAGGCTGTGGCTGAGCCATAAAACCCATACTGTTACAGCACTTTGTTAAATCATGTGGACTGTGGCATACATGCACACATTTTGTGCCGATTGTGCATGTACTGCATTGTCACACAGCTGCACTTCCACATGTGTGCTCAAATGTCAGAGCATTATCAGCTCTAATGCCACATTGTTGCTGCTGTTTTAGCCAATGACTTAGCAAAGTAACTCACCCCCACTCTCACATATAATTTCAGAGGAAGCTCATGTCCTGTAGATTCAAAGTATGTCAATCACAATTAGTTTTGACCTCACATTACAGTGTAATGTGAGGCTGTGCTATTTGAAGTGATCCGGTTTCAGTCTTGTGTTCCTTCTTTGTCTTTCCACGTTTCAGATGATTTACATGATAGGTTGTCATGATGGTTTACCACAGTAATCACATCCTGGGATTCTATTTAAGTGGTTTTGAGTCACGGTCTGCTTTCTGCAGGGGCTGTTATCCTGAAAACTAAACATTATGCTGAACAATCAGGATTTGCTTCTGTGATGATGCAGAACAGAGCTTATAAAACAGTTCCCATCAGGTTTTCATATTTGAAGTTCAGTGTGGGGTTTCTTAGCAATTATTTGTGAGTTATGTTATTCTCAGTTGATACTGGTCATTGATTTTCTGAGGTACAGATAGCCCCCGAGTTGTGGAATACATACACACACAAAACAGCCAGCAGGCATTTATTTTGGCTCTCATTTCAACCATTACCAATGGAACTTTGATCTTGGAGAGCTGAAATACTGCTGGTGAGGTTTCAGAAATAGCACAAGGATTCAGTCATCTGAAACTCTTGCATGGACTGAATACATTAGACACTCAACCGAGCTCCCTAAATGTCATTGTTACACGTTTCCATAGCCATGAATATTTGATATATACTTAATCAAGCACAGAAGGAAAATGTAACTGTTGAGACTATTCTAAGAAGAAGGGAGAAGAACTGATTTGGCAGGAGAGGTTCAATTCTGTTTTGCAGACCTGTTCACTGAGTGCTGCTCATAGATGGCATAACAGTGATAAAGATTGGGATGAGGACTTTCCATCAGTTCAACACAGATTCTTCCCTTTGAATACTTCCCTGAAGCTCTTTCATCAACATCTTAAAAGGCCCCTACAAAAGTAACAGTGGCCTCTTTTTATACTCAGAATATGTGGCAGGCTCATAATAATGCCACTTTATTGTTTCTTCCTCTTTTCTTCTGTCATGCTCTTCATCCCCATCTCCACTTCATAGCACTTGTCGCAGCCCTGAGAGAAAGACAAAAGTTCAGAGGTGATACAGCACTGAGCTGCTGAGCCTGTTTCCATGGAAGCAGGATTTTAATTCAGGCATCTCCTCAGTCAGCCGGGGTCCTGCCGTGTTATCTTGGGTAACGAGTCATTGATGCTCAGCAGGGGAGGGGTGCTGCTGTTATGATTAAGTCTATTGGCTTTATTGTGAAGAAAGCCAGGAAACAAAAAAAGATCTTTACTTCACACGTTCTCCAGAGAAGTGTGAAAAGTAAGTCAGATGAATATCAGACAGCTGGGACAGCAGCCAGAGCCAAGAGTTTCATGCCTAGCTCTGTAAAACCAGTAGCAACAGTAGTTTGTTACTGAGTTCAAATGACATTTCCTCACTTTTTGTAACCGAATAAATGTACCAATAATGACTCTCAACATTGAATGTTATGGTATAAAATGTAATATAGCTTAAATGTCTTGACCGCAGCAGTTTATGGAGATCCATCATCTGCGTTTCCCACATATGTAACTATGGAAACATCAGTGATTACCGTTGATTTTAGGCCCAGGTTTACTAAAGGTATAGCACAAACAGTGGCCTGCCAGGTCACCTTGTCAAGAAATAGCTGAGTGCTTCTTCCTAGTCAAAATCGTACATAGTGTAATTATGGTGAGGGCCAGAACAATACTTCATTGTCCAGAGAAAAAGGAAGTGTGTTTTCATTCAGATTACCCATGGGGCAAAAAAAAAGGGTGTCAGCGGGCCAGACCAAATCCCTGTGGCAACAAACCAAAGATTGCCTTTCAGGCACTCACCTGTCAATCACTGCAGATTCCCTGTGTAAAGGCTGTGATTTGCCCCAAAACTCCACTGTTTGTGAGCTCTGCTGTCTTCTCTACTGTCTTAAATAGGCCAGACCTTAACAAACATTTACATAAAAAAATAAACCCCTCGAGAAAGAAAAGCTAACATTGTTCTTTGTAGGACAATGACAAATAGCACTGCTTGAGGCTCAAGATGCAAGTATAGCATTCAAAAAACAAAACCAAGAAATTACTCTGTGTACTTTTACAGGCTGCAAGACCAACTTAGACACTGAACTGAAAAACCTTTTTGTGTTTTGAACCACTCATTTTCCATCTCTTCACCCAAGTACTTGAGGCAAACATTTTATTTGTTTACATTTCCCACAAGGGCACAAGGGCACTTCTCTAAGCAACCTGGCCAAGTACTGGATGCCAGGTGGTTGTTTCATTTAACGTGGCAATGAGATGTAAACAGTTTTTTTTTTTTCTTTACTGCTTTAAAATTATTTTGAGCTCTTTGTACTGAGCTTTTCTAAAAGCCAGAGGCGACTGAGAGACCAAGGACCTTGTGCACATAGTGGATCACACAGTTATCCAACTTACAAAGCTGCAGCCTTAGCAACAGCTAGCTTGCAAATAGCTTATTATTGAATATTTCACAAAATTTAGCACGTGTCCCATGCTTCTTTGCAGTGAGCTTGTAAATTCAAACTTGTCCACCCACACATGAATGTCTCAAAAATGCTGGATTAAAAACAAAATGTACAGTATTAAGTCACATTCTCACCATCAAAATATAAACAGTTGTTTCTTGGTTCAGTGTCGAGTTATTCACCAAATGTTAAACCATAATTTTTAGATACCTCCCTAACAAAGAGACAAAAAAGAGAGTGGTGAAAACAGCCTCTCTCCAGATTTTATGTTCCTTGTATTGTGGGTGGTGAATGATTCTAGGAATCATTTCTTAAGAGGCATATGAGCTGTGCAAGAGAAAACACAGAGAGCCATGCTGCAGAGGTGAAATGTCTGGATGTCCTTGGAGCTACTTTAAGAAATGGTTCTTCTCCTTCAGTGGGCCGTGGTGAGCTAAGGACAGGACTATGCTGGCTGAGGTCATTACTCCTGGCTCAAGCCTCACTGATCTGTCTTTGGTATGAACACCTATAGTACAGTAGACACCACTCCAGCTCCACCTCTGTTACTTATCTTATTCTTTTTCTTCCTCCCTAACCAGTCCCATCCAAGCTCCACCATATACACCGACACAAACAGACAGTAGTACAGGCATACTGTACACATACTTACATTTCCCTCAACACATATCAAGATATCACACCTTGATACATTTTGGCTTGTTAATATTAGGCAGATGCAGAGCAAGTGGCTTGTTGTCTCATAGTGAATGATTGAATAATCAGTTTGTAACCCTTTGTGCCTCATTCTCCAGGTGTGTCATTCTAGCCTGGAGTGGATATATGCTGTGAAAAATGATAATATGAATAAATTACATTGGATAGATGGTTAGATTTCTTGTGGAGAAGCAGGGGAGCTCATAATGACTTCTCTGTAGAGGAGCCTTGTACGTTGCCGTGGAACAATTTTTCCTCCTCCATTCTTGATTTTCACTCCCCGTCCACCCCCGCACTCTGCTGTATGTTCTATTTCTGACACAACAGTGATGACTAGTGAATGGTTTTGCCTTGCACTGGTTCTTAACAAGTGAGCGGATTGAATACAGTGTGTGCTGTGTATTGGGCTAATTAATGTTGTGCTGACCCACCATGGTAGAGCTGCAACTGCCAGGTCTGCAGCCAGTTATGTTTGCTAGGGGGAGGGACAGTGGAATGACACTAAAGCTACATCCTAACTGAGGATCCTGAAGGATATATTTCACTATAGCGGACCAAATGTGTGCCTCTACCTCAAGATGTCATGTGGACAACTGGAAAACAGTTCTTTTAATATTAGCCATGGATTACATGACCGTGCGTATATGATAACGGTTTCTCATTGTGAGGAACCCACAGAGGATTATCACCAGACCTGGCACTCCTCAGCGTCATTGGTGACACTTCACTGTCTTGGTTCACTCTCACATCACTGTCATCAGTGGACCGGTGGACTTAAACATGACTCAGAATGAATACTAACCTTGTTCTGTATGTGGATGAACATTGATGTACACACAGTATTAGCAACTATTTGCAAACATGTTTTACATTAATTTAAGCTGATATTGTATTAGTCATGTGTTTACTGCTTGTGCCTTCTGAGTAATGAAAAATAAGTTACTGGAGTTTTAAAGACTGCAAAAAATAACTGGTGGTGTGTATGTTTGGAAAAAAGTTAATGCAAAAATAGGTGTTTGAACTGGAAAACTGTTTTCTTGAAAACAGTGTATCTTCATTCTGCCCAACCAGGTATAAATAAAAAGTCTGTATAAAACCATCACAGACCTTTGAAATCCAGTTACAGTCAGTGTAGAAGATGGTGCCACCCACACGCCCCTGCATGTAAAGATAAGACAAGAGCTACTTCTGACCTCCTCTGTCTGCTTGACCTCTTGAATGAATTAGGTCATGTGGGCACATGGTGTCACCACTGATTTCCCTCCTCTACACTGTGCAGCACCTCCTTTGACATCTCTTTTTCCCAACCTGTCTTTTTTTTTTCCTTAGTACCATCTGATATATCCAGGTCTGTGAATTTTCCAGATGTCAAAAGATGAAGAAGCTGTCTCTTCTCAGTCGGATCTCTTTCTTCTTTGTTTACCTATCACTTGAGTCTTTCCCATTTCGCTCATTCAGAGTTTTCAAGATGAAGTCACCTCTTTTTAACGTCATTCATCTAGTCCCTGTTTTTATTTGTTCTTATCCATCCATGCCTCTCAACATAGTGTGATCATGTTTTATATATGTTTTGGCACACCAGTCACTGTCCTCCTACATGTGCACCTGCTTTCCTTTTCACTTTTCTGTCGTCTCCTCTCTGTCTTAACCCTACCTGTCTGTCTTGTTGTCCAGCTCCTTCTTTTCCTCTGTAGGTGTAGGTTTCTCTCTCGCTGTCTTTCTTTCTCTCCTTCACTCTGCTGTCTCCAACCAGACAGGAAGACTCTTTCTATATATGACAGCTGACATGTGGCAATTTCCCTTCTTAATGACAAGAAATGTGCCAATTACCTCTCTGGATGTTTCACTGCCAATCAGACATTAACGAGCTGTGTGTGTGTGTGTGTGTGTATATTTGTGTGCATTTCTGTGCACATGTTGGTGTTGGCATGAGGAAAAAGTTGGACGAGTGCTGTACGAAATGTAGTCTTCTACTGAATTTTAATCATTTGAAATCTTTTTATGAGACTGGCTTACCTTTTCATCTCTGGTTTTATTAATGAGTCCTAATTATAGTCGGTACAGAATAAACGATGGGTGAACTGTTGCTCACTTTTGCTCTCTCTCTCTCTCTCTCTCACACACATTCCAACTTTTGACATGAGTTTCTACCACTTTCTATCCTTCATCATTCTGTCTCCCTCCCACCCCTCCATCTGTGCTGAAAAGCTCTTTTGTTCAATTTTTAATTACCTTCTCATTTAAAAATGCTCTTGACATCTGAGCACCGCACGTTTGGAAAGTCTGCTCTGTGATTGGCGCAAAATTGGATAATCATCTCTTTGTATCGACTGTCAATCTCTTTTCTAAGAACATACCTTTCACTTCTCAGTGCCCTGTCCTGTGCACATGCACACTAAAAGACACTCAACAAAACCATCATTTCTCTTGTTTGCATTTTTATTTGCTTTGTTAGACTTATAAGTAGTCCTTCATGTTTCAGCTTGACACAGGGAACAAAGAACACACAAAATAGTAATTGGATCAATGTCCAGTCTTTGTTCTCGAAAAACAAAGCCTTTCTCTCTGATCATGTTTGGCATATTTGTTAGTTTCATTGAGTGTCACAGACTGATGGTTATAACAAAAACACACATTAACACAAAAAGCTATATAACCCTTATTCAGTAAATACAGCATGTTGCCTAATTATATCTACCATTTAGACACACTTTGTTATAACCTTTAAAAAAACATTATGAAGGATTATGGGTACTGTCCTTGGTGAATGTGGTTTTAGTTATGTAAGTCTTGGTGTACAAAAATTATAAAAAAATTGCAACTTAAAAAGACAAAAAAAAAAACAAAACACTTGTCAGACCAGTTTTCTCCCCTCATGCTGACTTCCCTCACTGCCAAAATGGTGCTAATGCAGTAATTCCAACACATCTGCTATTAACACAAATGACAAATTTAGTTTTTTGTCTTCATGCTGCAGTTCTTTCTGACTTGTGTAAAAATAAAGCTTTCATTAAAAATCACTGAAATCATAACAGTTTATATAAATAAAAGCTTGACTTTTTTGGTGGTAGGAGTTACTCAGTGCTTGTAGCATTATCTTAAAGAATAAAGATGATTTCTAAAAACAGTTTCTGAATGATAGATGGATGTAGTGCATCTCCTATACAGTCCACCTTATGTCTTGCTGAACTTTAGTGCATCATGCTTTGTGTGTGTGAGAGAGGTTTGATTTCAGCTAGTAGACAGCGGCTGATGGACTCCTACTCTTCCTGGCTACATGAGATTGATTCAACTAATGCATGTTTATGGAGGAAAACACTCCCATGCACCAAATCACATGGGAATATAGATCACACAGATATTTACTGTAAAGCTCTGCTGATTTGAGGTTTGCATCTAGTGTTTGTTCATATCTTGATTTATCATAATGATAATTTAGTTTTTTTTTATGAGCTGCAATGTAAGTGTTGGTGTCAATAATAATAATAAAAAAATTTCATTCTGAGGTGCAGTACCTCCAGTGTCAAGCTAACACAGATACCAGTGTGTCTGGTGATGCACATAATCCAGTGCATGTCACAAGTGCCTTTCTTCTCTTTTGACAAGTTTTCAGCAATGGTGGTGTGAAGACAACGGCTCATATGTTGAACATCTGTACTCTACATGCAGTTTGTGTTGTTTTGTAAGAAATTCAGCAACAACAGTGAGCCCGCAGGCTGCTTTATATTAGATAAGACTCGTATCAGGATATTGCCCCTCTTTTTTTTTGAGATACTTTATCTCTCATGAGAAAGACCCTTTATAAGCATCCTGCTTATCTTTGCCTGTACTGCTCCTTGGTGTCTTATCTCTTATCAGGCCCTGCTCCTCATGGGATATCACAATACGCAGGAAGTTAGCTGTTTGCCAGGCCTGCTCACGACTGGACAGCTTCTTTGAAGAAAACCAGAGACCCAGGAAATATTTTGAATCGAAGTGGCTGCAGGGGTGTGAGGTGGCACGTGTTATTCTTTTTGTAACGCTGAACCTTTATACCTCTTGAAGAGAGAAAAGGATCTTTGTGATTTACAGCCAAATAAAGGCTCTAAATGGTCCCCTGTTCTGTGATAGTGCTAGGCGTTCAATAGCAGTATCATTTAGAGAAATGAAACTCATAAGAAAAGGTCAGGGAGCCTCTCATCTCCAGGAATTGCAGAGAGTTTTCTTTTCTTTGCTGTTACTGTAGTGCTTTGTTCTAGTGGGAGAATAAAAAGAGCATGATGGCTATTGACTTTTTGTAGCAAGACCTCAGAGACAAACAACTGTGTTCTAATCTTGGCGCTCACTGTTATTCGAGATGTTAGGTGGAGGAAAAAAACAGAAATGTAGCTGTTTAAACTCTATAATTTAATGAGGTCAACCTGTTTTGTATCTCCTCTCACATCTTCTGTACAATAAACCATTTTGTTACCTCTGTGTCTTATCTTTAATAATGTCAATCTCTTTTCTTCTTAGGTGGAGTGGCTAAAGAATGAGGAGGTTATTGACCCCGCAGATGACAGAAATTTCTACATCACCATCGACCACAACCTGATCATCAAACAGGCTCGCCTTAGTGACACTGCCAACTACACCTGTGTGGCCAAGAACATCGTGGCCAAGAGACGCAGCACCACCGCCACAGTTATTGTCTATGGTAAACTACTTTCTACAGCTACAGTACAGTCAGAGCATACTGTTCATCTCACATGCCCCGACCTGCAAAGACTCCTTACTGGCCACATGAGTGATTAGTAAAGTCAGACAAGTGCAGAGGAACAGTACTGAATTTCTATAATAAGTCATCTCAACCCAAAATAAAACTAATTTCAGAGTCACTCTGCTTAAGGCAAATCCCTCTCTCTCCTGCGGTGTATAACACATTCATTTTGTTCCTGTTGGAAGGTGTGCAACGAATGGCGGATTTCAGATTTTCCTCAACTGCGAGCGAGGTGCTGATGTGGCTTAGCTGTTCATAAAGAGACTTCTGTTGTGGCTTCACACAGACTCACCCACAGTCTCCCTAACATCAACTAAGATGACTGTTATTGCAAAGCATGGTTCTGAAGTTAAAATTCTACTTTTGCCAGAGTCTTCTTAAGACAGAAGCTGCATGAAGCAGACCTTGGGAACATGAGACTACTGGCTTGATTGCTTAATTAACTGAGGCCAAGAGAGTTCATCCTGTGCTTGACAGAACTCCTCATGATACCACTGATTTACATTTGGGGCTTGAGTAAAATCATAACAAATCACCAAGATTCATATCCGTAATTTCCTCATTACTTTTCCCTGTCTCTCTCCTGGACTGTTGGGACGTGTGGTGTTATTAGCATTCTTGAAAATTTTGGAGGGATCAATGTAAGGCTGAGAACCACAAATTGTAGATCTACAAGAGCAGATTTCAGGGACAAGGTTTGCTGCCTCTGCAAAACATTCCTGTCACTAATGCAGTCTGTTATGATTTAGTGTTGAAAATCTGCTCATCCTTGGGAGAAGGTACCTGAAACCGCTGCATCTGTTTGTGCAGACATTACATTACATTTTCCTTTGAGTTTCATGAGAAACTCAAAGAAAAGGGGAGAGCTGTGTCTGATGCTAATTATGAAAAAGTGAGAAGGAAAGGCAGTGTGTTTTTAGCTCAGTGGTTTACACCCCAGCCCGTTACAAGGACATTAAAAACAGACGCACAAGCTGGCAGCAGAAAGAGAATAAAAGGGGGAGAGAGAAGATAGAGCTATAACCTATGGAGGAAAGAAAGCAGACAGAAAAAATATGTTTGGCTTTGGCGGTCTTCCCCTAGAGTCCAATATTTTGGGCTTCACTCATGAGCATGTCACATTTGAAAGTCGGAGGCTCCAAGGGGCCCAGTTCCACCAACTCAAATGCCACAGACTTGTTCTCAGCCACAAGCCCTGGTGTCACTCTCCACTGGATTTAGTCGCTGACAAAGATGGATGAGAGTGGAAGAGAGGCATTAGGAGGAATCAGTGAATGGAAAATGGAGCATTGTGACCAGAATTTACTGTCTGGCTGCATGTCAAAGTAACGACCCAAGATATCAGGGTCAAAGCACAAAAAATCTACAATACATGCACATTTTATTATGGGTAGTGACTGACAATCAAGATGTCTAACACTCAAGAGATAATGACAAACCCAATTAAATCCAAATGCAATCTTTTTATTCTCACTGTGCTTTTATTGCATTTGTATTTTTAATGCCATCTTATTTTTATGTATATCTTATTTCATGCCTGTGTGTATGTTTTAAGTGGTTTGTGCCCTTTCATGAAGCCCTGTCTAGTTTGTTTTTGAGAATTACGTTTCAGTAAAGCCATCCAAGAAAGAGCAATCATATATATATTCTGATGTGTTTTATTACTGTGTATTCCAGTGAATGGTGGCTGGTCAACATGGACAGAGTGGTCAGTGTGTAACAGCCGTTGTGGTCGTGGTTACCAGAAACGCACACGCAGCTGTACCAACCCAGCACCACTCAATGGTGGCGCCATCTGTGAAGGGCAAGGCATCCAGAAGCTGGCGTGTAATCCTCTCTGCCCAGGTATGGCATAAAATTATCATACACCCACTTAGGAGTGGGTGGAAAGGGTTTAGGTCAGCAAAAACTAAATACACAAAATATGATTCAACTCTGCGCTTGCATATTTCACTCTGTTTGTGCCTCCACCCATGTCCCTCTCTCACATTTCCCTTTCTGTCTCAATCACGTATCCACTCACCCACTCATATACACACACTTGTCTTCTTCATCTTCTCATTTACTGTTTCATTCACCCTCATCTGTGCTGTCTGTTGTGTGGTAGTGGATGGCCTGTGGACAGAGTGGAGTAAGTGGTCCACCTGTGGGACAGAGTGCACCCACTGGAGAAGGAGAGAATGCAACGCCCCAGCGCCCAAAAACGGGGGAAAAGACTGTGAGGGCATGGTGCTCCAGTCCAAGAACTGCACCGATGGGCTGTGCATGCAGAGTGAGTACCCGACTAATCCTCTGCTACTCTCTCTGACCTGCCAACCAAAGAAATGCCTTCACCCTTTGACCATGAATTTCATTCTGCTATTTCATCACCACACTGTTTCACATTCTCAAATAACACTCTCACCCTGTCTCTCACTCACTCTATTTCATTTGACTCATACATATACAATAAGAAACGGTAAAGTGCTTTTCTCCATGTCTTCTGCTCTGTAATTCTTTATTTGCACATGCATAATACACAAATGCTGTTGGATAAAAGTGACATAAAAGCAGAAACCATCACCCGTCTTTCCTCTGTCAGCTCTGCTTCAAATATAAGTATACTGTATGTTTAAAAAAAGATTTGGCCACATGGGGGAGCATTCTAACTAGTTATGCTTGTCACATGCTATGTATTAAGGAGTTATATTTAAAATAATAAGTGATTATATTGTAATTACATAAAATGGGGTCACAACTACCAAGCTGCTCTGATTACTACCTTAATTTAAAAACTCCAGATTCCTAAGATCTAATGAGATGAGACATGAGGCCACAGAGTGGTAGATGTTTAGTCTTGGTCCTTTTCCTGAACTGCCAGTTACATATGTTGGAAAATGAGAAAGTATTGTACAGAACCATTTACTTTTTTAATGATTTCAAAGTACAAACAGACTCCAAGATGCACCAGTATTTTCTTTTTGTAAATGATAAGTCTTCTCTTGGTTTTGTTGTTTTGTTGCTAACAAAAAAGGGCCAAAGCCAGTTTGTGGTGCAGCCAGATATTTTTCTGTAGGCAGCAAATTGTTTTCTGCTTCTCTTTCTTCAGGCAAGTTAAAAACAGCCACGCATTTCAGTTGAGCCAACAATCTTGCCCTTGCTTCCTTATAATACATTCACAGATTGGAATCGTGCTGCAGTTGCTCTGATGCACGTGTGTGTGTGCTTACTGCAGTGTTCAGAAGTTACAGTGTAAAGTATTTGATACCCCAGCTACTAAAACAGTCTTTGCCTTCTTGTTATTACAGGCTCCATGCCTGAAAGATGATGAGAACAAGATAGCTGGAAAGACTGCACAGTAACTGAGTTAAACTCTGCTGTCTAGTTTAATAAAATTCCTCTTCGGTAAACATCTTTGAAGGTGCCGGACCCACACGCGGTCACAGATGCCTCCATTATGTGCATAACCCACTACAGGAGGTGATGGTGATGCTAATAATACAACAGAAGCCCGACTACTGGATGCCTAGAATTTGATACAGCTGGCCGTCAGCTGTGTGCATCTGTACTCTGCTGCACCACAAGGTTGTGAGCCGCTACCTACAGTATGGTGCCAACATGATGTACTGCACTATCTTTAGAAGCAACTAGCTGATAGGTCTGCATGCCAAAACAAATACATACAGTAATGTATGTATGACTTCAGTGTACAGTGATTTCATTTTATGCTAGAGGAATGCATTGACTGATTTCATAGCCAAGGTCGTTTGTCTATAGTATAAAGCAACACCAGGGAGCATTTTATGAGATGACCTCTTATCTGTCTTATTCCTTTTATTTTATTTCCCTCTATGGCCAGCATACTGTAGACTCAAACCACACTTCCCCACCCCAGTGCACGCCCCCATGATTCGGACTATCACAGAAGCATTAGTTCTTGGTAGACTGATGGCCAGTTTGCAGAAAATATAAAGCCATAATGATATAGATTTAGGGTCATTTCAGAGATTGATTCTTTTTTTTTTTTTTTTTTAAGAGGGTGAAGCCACTTATATCAATGCTAATGACCATTTCCACTAGCATTTAGGAGCACGGACCATTATCTAAAAGCTTACATTATGGCAAATATGATTGGGAATGGAAGTTGTGTGCAATCTGAACTCACCTTGGGCCACTGATGTGCTTCCTCCAGTGCAGGGCTAAGATCTGAACAAAAACATGTCTGTGGATTCCATTGCAACTTGATCTTATTTTCTGTTGTTTGAATGTATTTAAATAATTTCACTTGCAGTCCATCACAGAAATCAGGCAAAGGAATTTGATATGACCAGAGCTGGAAATAAAACTCGTGATGCTCGGTCTCCATTGCTACTGCTGTAAAAACTCGAGTCAAAAAGGAAAGAGTTGTTATAATTTACTTTGCACCTTGTTTATCACATTTACACAGTCGAGGGAGTTTGGGGGCTGGATTTAACAAAGTTATGCCTCTACAGATTGATCTAGAGAGGCTGCACTTTGCCTGTTCAGATAGAACTTCCCAATATACGAGTATAGTTTTCACAGTTCACTCAGGCTGACCTGTCTAAATCTTTGTTTTTTTTCTAAATCCCTATCTGTCTTACTTGATTCCGATGTTGTTTTTCAAGCCTTTGGTAACCTTGCTCTCAGATATGACATTTTCTTGACATATTGATCTAGAGAAAGACGAGCACACACTCCAGCAAGGGCAAATGCTTTATTGCTATCAAACAACAGAGACTGGAAAATCATGGCTCTATGGTTCAATTCAGCTCAAAGGAACATGAAGTTATTTACTCTAGGTGGCTGAAAACATCCATTTAAATATACATAAATACCTTGTGACAAGGATTCATCAATTACATTAACATACATACTAGCTATTCAATTGATGACATCAGTTTTCCAGACAACGGTATATTTCCCCAAGGCTGGAAATCTGCCATATTCAAGGAAGTAATGGCTGAAACACAGGCAGTGATTTCCTGTATGAGTACAGTTACCTCCCCAGCTTTATGTTGACAGTAAAGAATGATCTTTGTCTGGGGTGCTGAAATTTACTTAGGAGCCCACCCACTGAAGCATGCTTTTACTCTGGCTATACTGTAGACTCACTCAGGCTGAATAGAAACTCTGCAAGATGGGTTGAAATGGGCCATCAGTTAGACTGACCCTCACAGTCACCTCCCTCTGCTCTCGCCCAGCCTCTTCGTTGCCTGATTACATGTACACACCAGCCCCATTTATCAAGCCATTGATTTTCCTGTCGTTCCACTTGTCTGCCTGTAACGCTCTCTCTCTCTCTCGCTCTCTCTCTCTCCAATAAGGACTTCATTGTTTGTTTAGTTGTTTATGGATGTCCCAGGGACTCTGAATATTACGTGTGCTCGTGCACTGTCCCTGGCTGCCATTCTAGCCTGCTTTCCATTTCACTTTAACATTTAACCTGGCCAAAACTCCAGCGGTGGCCAAAAACATCTGTAGAACTTTTTTTCTCCAAATCTCTGTCCTTCAAAGTTTTTCCGTCCCCTGCTTTTGTTCCTTTATCCCACCCTCTCTATCCACCTTCTAGTAATAAATGCACGGCTGGTTCTATTGACTCGGTTGGACCCACACTTTACCTGGCCCCCATTTCTCTCACCTGCCCGCATTAGTCCTGCTGCTGAAGCACAAAGCCCAGTTGATGGATCACACCACTCCTTTGCAGAACCTCCATGTTTGCCTGTTCTGGTCATCCATCTCCATACACAGATCTTTAGAGCAGGGGCCAAATCAAGAAAGATCGCTTTCCAGCATCATCACTCCTACTCATGAGTTTGTTGCTGTCTCATTTGTTGATTTTGTTTTTCTGTTGGCTTAAATTTGATTTTCATCATCCCTCTCCCATCCACAATCCTTTCCTCTTTTCAAGGTTCCTTATATCAGAAGTCTTCTGAGGCAAAAGACAAGAGTGACATGGGAAATTCATGTGAGTTGTTTTTTATGTTTGTTTTGTTGTTGTTTTTTTTACTGTTATTTCTACATTTATTGTTTCTCTTATATCTATTATATGTTTCTCTTTGTCTTTAATCTTCTTTCTAGCAATAACGTCAGTGTCAGGTTGTCCACAAGGAAGTCACAGTCACTCATACTCCCAGATAAATCATATAAAAACACATAATGTTAACGGAATAAAAATACATTTGCCATTGTTTTTTCATGTTCAGCTATGTTACATGACTGCTGTTTCTTAACCTCTCTCTCTCTCGCTCTCTCCTGTTTCAGAGCATTTCCTGTTCTGTTTCTTCTTATAATGTCTTTGTTAGCTAGATACCTGTTTATACCCATGTTACTGTTCTCTAACTCGGAGCCGACGCTGCCCTTTACCCTGATGCTCCCCCTGAACTTCATTCTGACACTTTGCCGTTGACATCAGCTCAGGCGCTGAGTCCAGTGGAGAAGTTAACCCCACTGTCTTTCTCTCTTTACATCTGTAATACTTCTTCTGTATCTCACTCTCCCTCTGTAAATCTCTGCACCCTCACAAAAATGGAGTGTTCAGTAATCCCATTTCATTTCCATTCCTTGTACTTTTTTCCTTTTCGACAATGGCTCATGTTCAAAGGGATGTATTAATCTAAGCGATACATTTTAATGCATACACTTAGCAGGTTGCTGCCTTTATCATCAAAGCCTGGATGGAAGCTTGTTTGACTGAGGGGATATATGTTAAATAACAGTAGGGAAGCTTGGGAGAGGGAGCACAGTGAAATTACATTTTAGACTTTCATCACTGGCTCTCTGCTCTATTTTCTGTTTGCATCTGTGCTAGACGAAGGATAGGGATTAAGCCTAATGTAAATGAGGATATCTTAACACTCCTCTTTAATGTGATGTCTCTCTTAAGGCTAAATAGAGAGCTCCAGGTCCGTCATGTCCTTCCTGGAGACTGAAGGGGAATAATTACAGTATTAAATCCTCTGGCTTTATAACTGTTTATTACATCTTAACCTAAAGAAGTGATCCGCTTTTTCAAATCAACATGTTGATGCCGTCAAGCAATGCCCCTGAGAAGCTCATGCCATTTCAGGAGATATTCTCCAGAGACTCGTATAATGGATTTTAAGCTAAGTGTTGAATAATATACCTATACATAGAGTACATATATAATAACAGTATATTGTTGGATATATTGAGTATGGGATTAAAAATGTACATCTTCAGTTTTCACAAAAGCATTCTGCTTTTCTCCTTCATGTGAGGAATACAAGAAACACAGATTGAGTGCCATCTGTATCCCTGAGACACACAAGTCTAATTTACACAAATGCTTGGCCATCATGACTGTCTTTAACGTGCTGTGCATGGATTTATGGCAGATGCTGCCATCTACTGGTGCAGGTTCTCCTCCATTTGCATACTCAAATATTTCAAAAAACATGAATATCCCTTTATCAAAATACATTTATTCTCTTAATAATATGCTTCAGTTTTTGACTTTTTAAATAACCACTGACATGTACAGTTTGTATTCAGGCATTGAACAATGCACACCTTCAGGCTCACACACTATGTTGCCTCTAAAGAAAAGCTTTTGTCAACTTGGTGACAGTGAAGGATGTTTTTTACCAAACGAAGAGTTCGGACCGTCAGTATATGCATCTATTAAAAGGCCTGATCTATGTGAATCGGCGCATCTAACCGCTACTATAGCCATGCCAAGCCTACTAATCACAGAGGTTTCTCCAGCTGGAAAGTGGACGAAAGAGTCTTGGAGGGAGACAGATGAAAGAAATGCAGGCTACGTCTAGATCTTATCTGCAGTATGTAAGAACAAAGACAGAGACAGACTCTGAACTCCAACACAGAGCCATGGTAATTTGAAGATGAAAACCTCTATATCTCTGTCTTCAGAACTTTTGATCTCATTTCTGAGCCTGCTTGTTAGGACAGTGTGCCACTGAGTTGTACTATAGCAGCCATTCCTACTAATTGTACAGTTGTGTGCAGAGTTTATCATACGTTTTATCTTTTTATCATAATGATGCATGGTGTACAGTCCTCACACACAAGGCAATATGGCCTTTTACAAGAATATTAATCTCATTAACATGGGCATACAAGTCACTCTTACATATGGTATGTTTCACAGATATCTTCTTGTTTGTGTGCCTTTGAGTGTTAACACTAGTCAAAATTGAACATAATATACTGACAGTGACAAGGATGAAAGATTTAACAGTTACATGCATCATTTTCCCTTTTTAGTTTTGACAATTAAAAAGAGTGCCCCATATTAGTTCATCAGCAGTTTATTAGACTTTTTGCCACTGGTTCACCGTTAACTACACTGGAAAAAATAACAGGAGAAGCACTGTATGCATTTTTTCCCAATAGATGGTTATTAATATCCGGTACAATCTTAAACCAGGATATTATTCTGCTGATAATGGCTTCATCACAACTCCCCCGTATTAAGAAAAAAGCTTAATGCTTTTGATGTAAGCTTATGGGTTTTTAAAAGACATATTTCTCTTTGTGTGTTGTCCCTCTTCCCCAACCCCCTCCTCCTCCTCCTCCTCCAGTGGCCCCCACTACAGATGATGTAGCTCTGTATGTGGGCATTGTCATAGCAGTGATCATGTGCCTGGTTATCTCTGTCGTCGTGGCGCTCTTCATCTACAGGAAAAACCACCGGGACTTCGACTCTGACATTGTTGATTCCTCCGCCCTCAATGGAGGCTTCCAGCCGGTCAGCATCAAGACCGCTCGCAAAGGTGTGGCACAGGAGAGATTTAAGTGTCTCTGTATGTGTGTGTGTATATATATATATCTCATTTTAAAATCTTTTTATAATAACCCCTTTGTACACACCTACAGTAACAAAGAAAAGGAACAACAAAGAATAAAAGCTGCATGTTAAACAGAGTTAAAAAAACAGAAAAACTTAGTCTGACTAAAAATATTATAATTATAACAATATACAGTAATTTATATCAGTAAATATCTGAAACATTAGCAAGTAAAACTATGAAGTATTCAGTTCTACCTTGTGGTACTTAACAGGTTTGATATTCAGTGTATTTCAGTCTGCACCGGAAACAGAACTGAGATTATATACCCAGTACTATATGTCACACCTGTGTTGTCAGGCATTGGGAATTGCTTGCATTTGCAACCCATAGCATTAATCTGACAAGATATTTTTGACTCTGCAGCTTTGGCAGCATGAGTGTGAGTGATGATGTGAATGTAAATGTGCCCTTTTGACTGTAGATGAGCAGAGAGCTTGTGAGAGAAATACTGACAGCAAACAGCATGTTTGTGAGGGCATGGTGATGAAACTATTAAAATGCTTGTTGTTGTGATGGGAAGCCAAACTATGCCCCTTCATTAAGGCATAATAAGGGCAGACTGTATGTCGCATATTAAGCTCCAATTAGATTTGGGCTGGTGACGCAGGACTTAAAAGTACCACTGCAAGGATGAGCACAGGTGGCAGTGAGCTGGGTTAACAAAGCAGTTGCAAGCAACAGGCACTTTGACTGCAGAATGAATCCGAATGTGCAGCTCAACAGACTGGCTTACTTAAAAATGAAAACCCTGTAACTTGAGTTTTTTTTTTTTTTTTGGACTAGTCAAGTTAAGCAACATAAAACAGATCTTCGCACGCCCTTGAATGCATAACAGCTTTAATTAAACTACTTATCTACTGTACACTGCTATACCTATAGAGTAGATGATGATTTTATAAAGCATTAATTATAGTAGCATAAAGTCACTACAGTAGTACTACTACAAATATTGTACCACTACTGAAAAAGGATAACTATAATCTTTATTTGAATAACTTTTGTGAATTTCATTGGTAGAGAAAGTTGGAAAACAGAGAGGGGGTGGAGGTAGTGAAGAAGCTGGAAGAAAGTGAGCTCCCACTGCCCTCACACCTCCCACTCAGCCCAGCTATTGAACATTCATCCTTGTACCTACTGGATAAACTGAGTATTCTTGAAGCCATCTGTTGCTCATGAATCACAGCTGTGCCTATAACTTCTCTGACTGAGTAATGTTTCTTGGTAGTGAAGCTGACTTCCCTAATGAAAACAAAAAAAGAAAAACAAAAGAGTAAAGCCAGGCAGCAGTTTTACTGATTGCTGCCAGCAATTCATTTCCTTGGGGTTATTTTGGTTTTAAGTTACCACTTCTCCACATTCACAGTTGAAAAGAGTATATAATCACAATATTTCATTGGCTTTGCTGGACTGATGTCACTATCTTTTTTTGTTCCAGCTGATTTACTAACAGCACCCCCTGACCTGACCTCTGCAGCTGCCATGTACCGTGGCCCGGTATATGCTCTCCATGATGTGGCTGACAAAATCCCCATGACCAATTCCCCTCTGCTGGACCCTCTTCCCAACCTGAAGATTAAGGTGTACAACTCCTCAGGCTTAGTGACTCCACAGGATGACCTGGGAGGGGAATTTTCCTCTAAACTGTCACCTAAGCTACCGCACTGCCTGCTGGACAACAGTGACAGCACAATGGGTCATCGCACACAGACCCAGACGTTGCTCCGCACCAGGGATCCTTCATGCACTGCCCTGGGTTCCTTCAGCTCTCAGGGTGGACACCTCATTGTGCCCAATTCAGGTATTATACCAGAGAAAGAAAGTCTTTTCACATGTTGTGATTAGAGATGCATGTTATCACTTATTCAGTGGCTCTTCTTTCAGGTGCCTTTGACCTTTTCCTCACATCAGCATTTAGTAATAGTGGCCCCTTTCCTGTGTTCAGTATGTGAATGTGAGAACAATTACCTATACAGGTTTGTGCATACTGAAAGGATAAACTCCTCACAACAGTATAGCCTGACATGTAGAAGAGATCATCAATCAGATCTTCTCTCTGTGCTCCAAACAGGCCACTCTTCATGCATTCATATATGCTGATAATATTCTTAGCCCAGAAGTGGACACTCCAGATGTTTTTTTGGCTGGGAACAGTAACATCCTGATGTCCCTGATGGTTCCCTCACAACCTCACAGTGAGGAAAAGGCATCAGGAAATCACTGTGTCCCACCAAGACATTGTGGAGTGGTCGTTTCTTTAGCTCTTTAAGGGCACATAACACCCAACAAAACTGCAACTTTAGTATTTACACATTTTGTATGGATTAAGCAAATGAGATATGTTAACTATGATGGTCAGATTTGTTACTTTTAGACAGATCCTGGATAAATGTTTCCTCCAGCCTGTTTTCAGACTTCGTGCTACAGTAAGCTAAGCTCGCTGGCTGCTAGCTTTAGCTTTATATTTAGCAGATAAATATGAGAGTGCTATTGACCTTCTCATAAAGTCTCTGCAAGAAAGTAAATAATCATGTTTCTCAGATGGCAGTATATTTCCTAACATTTGCCCCATTATTGACTTGTTTCAACGATGCTGTCTGATTTCATGGGACCTTTAAAAAGAAAAACTCTCCTTAACACCAAACATGCCTAAAGTGATTTCCATGCCTTTAGTATATGACTTTTGGCCTGGAAAAATGACACTACTCCAATTAATAATCATCTTTTATTAACCAAAGTAATAACATTAGTGCTGTTTGTTTTTAACTCTAAATAATGCTTAATTAATGCTCGTATAGTGCTAGTATACGTGGAATAAAACCCACTATTGTATATATTCAAGGTAAGATTTTCCTCGGACTAAATAGTGTTCTACTCTATATGTTTGAGATCCGACCTGCCTCTCTTTACCATGGCCACCAAGAGTACCTTTAAACACACAAACATGACTGAAATAATATGCTAAACCATATGTAACCTATCAGCATATTTACCACACACAGTATGACAAGAGTTGATGGATACCTAAGGTGTGTGCACTACTGAAGGAGAGGTGTACTGTTTCAGGCAGCGTACATTAACTGTGCTCTCCTCACTTCAAACACATGTGGGCTGTGTGTAACATGCCACAGATGCATGTTGACAGGCCCAGACAAACTAGCAGTGACATTAAAGGACACGTTGACTTCTCAAGTTTCCCAAGTTATTCTTTTTGATTCCTGTAAAAATGTTTTCAGCTGCTGCCTGAGCTTACCCACCTCATCATGTTACATAGGCAAAAGGAAAGAAAAGAGCACATTTGATATTTGACCTGTTTGTGTGACTGGATAATGAAATATCCTGTGGCGCTGTCATTGTGGTTGTTTGGTATTTTGCATGTTTAAAGTGCATTTCACTTCGCTTTGAAGCTTTACTGTGAGGAAAAATGCCAGTCTGTGAGATGTCCCTTTGGCATAGTTGTGATTGCCTTGCTAGCTAGCAGAAGCAGCTGTCTGTCACTTTTTGAAAAGTTCAATACAAGGACATGGGAAATCAATAAGCTATCTGAGAATCCTCCTCCAGAGAGAGAAAGTGTGTGTGTGTGTGTGTGTGTGTGTGTGTGTGTGTGTGTGTATGAGGGACTGCATTAGGTGATAGTGTCTCAAAAAAACCACACATTGGATAGGACATCATATCAAATCAATTTGAGGTAGAAAATGTAAATCATGTGGGTTGCAGCAATATGAGAATGCTATGAAGAGGAGGGAGGTCATTGATTTTAGATATGAAATATCACATCGTTTCCTGATGCCATCGGAAAAGCCAGTACTGTGCCATAGTTTTAATATGTGGGGTTGAGGGGAACTGGGACTATTAATATGCTCTAAGAAAAGTAATTCTCACTTTTCACTGGGGCTTTAACTGCTCATTACTGTTATAGTACTGCATTAAGATATGCTAGCTACAAGTAAAACATTTAATATGTCCTTTTTGTATGCAAGTCTATTTGAGGGGGTTTGTTTTTTGATATGATAACATATTGTGCAGAGCATTTAGGTTTTTATTCTGGTCTAAAGTCTCTCTCTATGCTCTCATTGACTAAAAAAACTATTAAACAGTGTCATGACTGTACAAATAGCTGTAAAGACTTGTCTGGTCTACCTGACAGCTCACATCTCTAACAGTATGCCATTTTGTTTGTGTGTCTGTTACTGTACTTCCCAGGAGTGAGTCTGCTAATTCCAGCAGGGGCCATTCCCCAGGGCAGAGTGTATGAGATGCATGTGACAGTTCAGAGGAAGGACAATATGAGGTATACCACAGCAATGCCCCAGAACTGTGCTTACACCTGTCAGCTCTGGTATGTTGCACATGCAGCCAGACTGCTATCAAATTATTGTTAAACAGTGTGTGTTTTCTTCTGTGCATCTCCAGGCCCTCAGTGGAAGATGGCCAAACAGTGCTGAGCCCTGTGGTGAGCTGTGGGCCCCCTGGGGCCTTGTTGACTCGACCTGTCATCATCACCATGCACCACTGCGCCGTGTGTGACGGCCAACAGGACTGGCTGATCCAGCTCAAGAGTCAGTCACAGCAGAATCAGTGGGAGGTGAGGTGTGAAGTGCACAGTGAGAGCTGACCATGGTCAAGTTTGAAAATGTGCTGTTGAGAGTCATGTCAAGTATTATAATGATGTTTGCCACCCTAAATAAGATTCACAGAAGTATACTACTCATTAAATAATCTACACAGGATTTAGCTGGTTGGTTTCTGCTCAGCAATAAACAAAGACCAGAGGAAAGGTACTGTGAAAAGCAAAATGATGAAATGGCACAGGACAATAGATAGCATGTTGGAGGTGAGGGTATCAACTTCCCATGCTTTGTTTGTGCAGCTCAGCACTAGAGGAAACCCCTGTTGCAACCAGGTGCAGAAATAGTAAACCTCTGATAGTAGGGCTTGGGCTGGGACTGCTTGTTCCCCCAAACTATTTTCATGTGCCTTTCATGAATACCTATTTTTCTGTGTGAATGTGTGTGCGTGCGTGTTGTTTTTTGGAGCCCTGTGCCTGCAGGCTCCATCATTAACAGTGGTTTAAACTCACTCCTAGTCTTTCTCCCTTTTTCTCTTGTGTCACACACACACACACACACACACACACACACACACACACACACACTCAGAAACAGTCCAATTACCAGGAGGAGATCATTTTCAGAGAAACTATGCCACCACCCTCATGACAAAAATGGCTTTAAGCTTGTTATAAAAAGTTCAGTTGTCATTTCCTGCTCCAAAAATCTCTATGTATAGCACATCTCAGAAAATAATACGACAAGCCTTGTTGTAGGCATCTTTTTCTGTCAAGAGAGCCTTTTTGGGCAAGTTCTCGTTCCATGTGGTGTTTAATGAATTGTTATAGACAGAAGTGTGCTGAGACATGGTTAAAGTAGAAGGTGCTCAAAATATGAAACAACTAGCCATACCCATTTATGTAGTACGTTGTATTGCGTTGGTATTCCAGGTACTGCTTTGGACTGGTTTAGATCTTATCTGACTGACAGGATTTTCCGCCTTGATGGATATGTGTCATTTGAATTTGTCTGTATAGGTGTTTGGTCGAAATGAATGAATGAAGATATAAATTATAATGAGAGTGCACTACCAGGGTAGGGAAAATGTTGAAGAACTATTTGGAGTCTATATAGTAATATAGGCCAGTCAGATATTGGAAATCCAACAGCCTAGAGTATATTTAATATATGGCCTTCATTGTGCTTGTCACTGAATATTGGCTTGAATAACAACATTTTCAGGAAGTCTTTGTGCAATCTCCACTGCTGATGTGATGATATGACTTATGGAGAAGGGGGGAAAAAACCTGCCAGACTGGGCCCACGTGTCTTTGTGACATTGATGAATTACTTGGGGGTAGTCAATAAATCTGTATTTTTAAGGAAGAAATAACTATTGATTACATCTCTGACCTGTCATAAATGCAGATGGTAATATCCAATGTGGATAAGCGTTTTTTTATAAGCTACTCTTCCCACTAAGGCCAGCTTCCATGCTGTGTGTGTGAAATATTACTTTCTGTGACATGCTCTGTCAAAATGTGCAGCAGAAATGGAAGAGATGAGCTCCTCTGAAGAAGTAATTCTCACACACACACACACACACACACACATATATATATATATACATACACACACACACACATCACCACCCAGTGAGAATAATCAGTTCAGTTGGCATCCAGGATGCTACCACCAGCCCCAACACACACGCACCACTCAACTGCATGCACATTATGACTGAGGAGACATGGTGTTTTGATGCTGATGAAGACAGCAGGTCATATAATTAGGAACATGTGGGGCTTTCTGCTTCAGTAACTCCCCTAAATAGACGTTTCCTTCTGCACCTCTCAAAAGATTACAGCTGATGATTGCAGTCAGAAATTTGCAAATAATTTATTATATGAATGTTTGAGTATGTGTGTTTGCATGTTTGTGCCTGCACATATACTGTATGTATGAAGCAAAACACCTCCTCTTCCACTGTGTTTTCTAGTGTGTTCTAATTATCCCCCAACAAGGAGTCCCAGTACCATTCCCCAGGAGCAGTTAAAGAGCCATAATGCTGCTGTTAAACAGCCTAGCTCACAATAAAATTCTGTAATTCCTCTTCTGTCTCTCATAATAGGCTGAATTTATGCCAATGTGTTGCTCATAGGAATATTTGGATTAGAGAATGAAAGAGCAAATATTAAGAAAAAGGGTAAAGGTACAAAGGGAAGGAGAGAGAGAGAGAGGGGGCCCTCCTCAAACCAGACAGACTCAATGAAAGAGAAAGCTGTCCTTGCCTTGGTGCTTTTATAGGGGTCGACTACAAATGGTATGGACACTCACACTTTCATTACTTAACATAAACAATGTCAGACATTATTAATACACACTTAAGTGTAATTTCTAGAGCACACAGCTTAAATGGCCTTTCTCTGTTAAAATGAAGTTTAAAATCAGTTCAGTAACAACTGAAAGAAATCAAATGATGTCACTTAAATGAAGGATTGAAAGAGCTGAACATGAACAGAGACAGGACAGATCCAGGTTTCATTTTTATACTTTTTATACTGCTTATTGCAATCAGTTCTACATGGAGTAACAGGTTTCAGGTTGTTTTTTTTCATTGCCTTATTATATCCCACACTTTTTCTTCCTGTCCACACTGTAGGATGTGGTGATTGTAGGAGAAGAAAATTTCACCACACCATGCTATATCCAAATGGATGATGAAGCCTGCCACATCTTGACAGAAACGCTGGGTACCTACTGCCTCGTGGGCCAGTCTCTTAGTGCTGCCACCATTAAGCGTCTCAAGCTAGCCATCTTTGGCCCTGTCACCTGCCCTGCCATGGAGTATCACATCAGAGTCTACTGCCTGGACGACACACAGGACGCTCTCAAGGTAAATATGCAGCATGTTGCAACCAAGAGCGTTTGTTCTTTTGTCCCTTTGCGTTTGCAAAAAGGGTATGTGGCAGAAGGTGTGTGTTTGTAAGCATTAATGATGTTTGTTTAACATTGGTTGTGAATTGTTAGTGTGTGTGTGTGTGTGTAGGCATACTGTAGCTAGCAGATGAGGTGTGGGAGGCAGAATGAGAAATCTTTGTGTTGGTGTGTCAATAAGAGGAAGGCAAGCGATTGCATTTGAATAGCGTCAATGCTCCTAGAAAGATGCAGCTGCTATGCCAAAATAAGCCACATTTATTACTGTATTCTACTGTTGTCTCCTCTCCTCAACTCCATGTAATACCTCCATCTACCCATATAGAGGAAAGATAAGGAAGGATCATTATACTGAGCTGGGATATTGAACATGGTTAATAAGTTTGGGAAAGGGTAATGAGAAGTGATAGTGATCCTGCTGTAAGGACATTGAAACTGGTTTCAGATGGCAGGTCTAGATGCAGGTTCATAAAACCCTGAGAGTAGGTGTTGAAAATACTATTAAAAAGGGTTCATTTATAAGTTTTCATCAGAGCATTTGCAGCAACCTGCAGCAAGAAGTATACAAGAGTTTAGAGCAGCACAAATGTAAGCTAAGTAAAAGAGTTATGAGGTCAGTATGCATGGTTTCATACACTAATCAACTGAGCTTTTGTATTTAGGAAGTCCTACAAATGGAGAAGCAGATGGGTGGAAAGTTGCTGGATGAACCAAAGACTCTCAACTTTAAAGACAGCACCCACAACCTGAGACTTTCCATCCACGATGTCCCCCACATGTTGTGGAAGAGCAAACTACTAGCCAAGTACCAGGTAAAGTGGTTATTTACTCTTAAACACTAAACAATGTCTCATACACAAATGGTCAAGTAACATCCTCTGCCTTCTACCCACAATTGCAGGAGCTTTCCTTTCAGCAAGTGTGGAGCGGTAACCTCCACTGTTGCTTTACCCTGGAGCGCTTCTCTGCCAGCACAGTGGACCTGGCCTGTAAGATATGTGTGCGTCAAGTGGAGGGAGAGGGACAGATTTTTCAGCTGGACACCACACTGTCAGAGGTAGAGTCTGATACTTTCTGTACTGTAAGTCTTACATTTAATTTGATCATCTTAAAAGAATCGTTTTTCTTGTTCAGGTATGAGCAATGCATCAGTGTGACTCTTGTCACCTGGAATTTTGCATTTAGAGATCATTCATTTCCTTCACCATTCCATCCTTGTCTGTTTCCTCATCCCTCTTTTTTCAATGTTAGCAAAGATTGACAGGGTGAAGATGAGGAGTCTTGTCCCCGCAGCCTTCATATAGTCCTCCTGATGTCAGGTCAATGCAGAGCAGAGAGGAGCTGAGGGGGAATAATCACCCTCCAGCCGGCCTGTACTTGCTTTACAAAATTCATCTGGCCAGGAGAATAGATCTTGAGGGATGGAAGAACTCTCAGGCTTTGTGCTCAGTAATGAGATGAATTACAGTACAGAGTTCTCTCCCTGCTTGGCCTTAGTTCATTTATCTCTTGGCTTTGCTCTTGTTACTGTAGCCAGACCTCCAGCATTTAATCCTCCAGATGTATGTAGCTGAAAATCACTCGGCTTACAGCGATAAATTGCCAATAAAATGAATGTCTACATTTTATAGAATCAGACATTTTCTGTGCATCCATTTGAGCTACATCGTTTCATTTTGTGAGATACTGTCAAATTATGTCCCTGCAGCCTGAAATCTGCCAAGTTTCAGTCTATGTCGCCCCCCCCCCCTTCTGTTTCTCTGAATGTGTAGGATTCTCAGAGTATTGACACTTCTCTGCTGGACCCTGCCAGTAACATCACCACGCTGGTGGGGCCTAACGCCTTCCGCATCCCAGTCTCCATTCGACAGAAGCTGTGTGGCAGCCTGGATGCACCACAGACCAGGGGAAATGACTGGAGGATGTTGGCCCACAAACTTAACCTTGACAGGTGGGTAGAGAAAGAGAGAAGCCAATGAGGAAACAAGAGAGATGGTGACTCAGATTTATGTCCTTAGTGGTCACAGTCTGGCCACAGAAAGAGACTGTCATCAGGCTTTGCTCGGTTTTGAACAAGGGTAAATGAAAAATGCTAAATGAATAAAAATATACACAATCTCCCCCTTTAAAAAAAATGTTGGATATGCAAATTTTATAGCCAAAACATTTTTTCCATTATAGGGAGTCAATAAGATCACGTAAAACTGTAGATAGCTTCTCTTTTTTATTCGATTATGATTGTTCTTTAGGAATGGGACTCACTTTGATAAGCATCTGTCGAATTGAGATTAATTGAGCTGGACTGAACCAAGACAAACAGAAAGACAAATATGCTCCTCTTTTCAAAATGTCACCCTGGGGTTTTTGATATGTGTGTGATGGAGGTGCAGTCCGTGTCCATTTTTAAGGTCCTGGCTCAGCACGGCGGCCTTATCATAGGCAGCAGGGGACGCGTATGACAGTACAGAGTGATGACACATAACAGTAGTTTATTCATATTGCTCATTTACCAATTTGTTTAAAAAAAAAAAAAGAAAAGTACAGGACTTAATGTGTTTGAGTTTCAAAAACCGATCTGAAAAATAATTTACCACACAGACATTTTTTAACTGTGAATCTGCGTAATCAGCCACTCATTTGCCTTTTCTTGCATTTCCACTTAACTTTACATAATTTATATATTTATTTTCTGTGCTCCACTCATCTCAATAAAACTTTATTGTAAATGACAAAACCCAGCACCTCTTTGCAGTAAGAACAATGCAACCCAGATGAAATACTTTGCAACCTGAAGAGCTCTCTTAAATAAAAAAAAAAGGATAATTATCGGGGAAAACCTGAAAGCCAGTGGATAAAAAAAAAAGATCATTGATTATCATACTGTGAAAACATACTGTACAGTACAACAAAACAAAGTACACTCCTGGTCAGGTTCAGCAAAATAAGTAGTTACAAAGCCTGTTACTATCAGTGGATTGTATTATAATTTTATTTTTATCCCAAGCATAAGAAGAATGAAACCAATTCATTTTATAAACAAATGCGTTCCCGTCTATGTTAAACTATAACCTCACCCAACCTGCCAAAATAATACCTCAGTCTTAATTACTGGTCTAATACCTATCCCTCTCTGTTTCACCACATTCATTTAGGTATCTTAACTACTTTGCCACCAAATCCAGTCCTACGGGAGTGATCTTGGACTTGTGGGAGGCCCAGCATTTTCCTGATGGCAACCTTGGTCGCCTTGCACAGGTACTGGAGGAGATGGGACGCCATGACAGCCTTGTTCCTGCAGTGACTGAGCACTGACACCTGCTCACCAGTGAGTGTGACATTCCAGGGAGGGAGAAGACATAAAAAGCTAACAAGATAGGGGATGCCCAAAAGCAGGCGAGTCATTTGGCATCACGGTGACAAATGCACATACAGTACACACAGATGCTGCATGTGGGTACACTCAAAGCATAGAAACAGCTAGGTCTACTCAGCTATGACCTAGTTAAACACTGGCAACAAAGGGTATAAAACCTGGAAGGTAAACAAGAATTTCTGCCAGTCATTTCTCTCTGGTTGTTCCTCTGTCTTGCTCTCTGGTACAACTTGATATTTTTGGCTCTAGTTTCCTTGGAAACTAGCTGTCCAGTATTTGAATGGACTTTGCGAATATGTGGACAATTTCCCTGCCATAGACAACAATCTGAAGAGAGACACACACTATAAGAGGTCAAGGAATCAAAAGAGCAAGGCCTGGATCAGAGGAACTATCCCTCAGTCTTCAGAATCAGTCTCCATAGAAACTCCATGGGTGAGTATATGTTCTGTGATAACATAGTATTTAATAATATGCCTATTTATACATATCTTTTTTTGCATTTTAATGCTGCCGGTTTGGGAATACTTTGCAGTATTCTCACATTTTTGTTTTCCTTTCATTATGTTGGACTGTATGATAGCACCTTCTGGTGGACTCTGGCAGTAATGGCTTATTTTGTCAGCCACATTTTCATGTACAGAAGGAAACCAATGATGTAACCACATTGCAGCTTAGCATTGCTGTCATTAAGAACTATTAATTTTTTTTATTCATATTCTATGTAATTACTGAGTTTCAATTGTCTTACTTTTACACTTTTTTGTAGTTCTTTAAGTTGCATCATTATAATTTTTCATTACTTGCCTTTTTTTTTTAAAATCGGTCATTTGGCTTAAATCACCCATGTGCTGCCTCTAAAATAGAGGGCTGTCAATATTATTTTCCCAAACTGACTACAATTCCTGACTGATGATCGATATGCCAGGCATAAACTGGTAGTGTTGAAAAGGGAATTAAAAAGTATATTTTTGTAGGACCAATGCAAATGAATACAACTGCTTTTTACCAAATAATTGATAAACAGTGTATGAAGTTAAATTTAATACATAATGTGATCATCTAAGTATCAAATGGCACTTCAAGAAGTGCCATTTATTGTGTTGAGAACTGAACGACAGTCATGTTGGAGGAGATTTTACCTGTATTTGTACATTAATGACAGAAGCCACTGATGATGTGATAACACCAACTCTGTGCAGAAAATTTTGTGATAGTTGTAAATGCAACATTCCTTTGATGCAGCAGCACTTGTGACTGTTCAAGTGTTTTGGTTTGTTGTTTTTTTTTTACAGCAGTTGTCCCAGTTTTTGTAAAGCCGTCTATGCAAACTTTGCATCTCTTTGAAACAATCTTTACATTCTCAGTGGGCTAGCCTTTGCATTTCCTAGTTGTTCAGCTTCATGATTATTATTGTGTATAGTGAGAATGTAGACTCTCTTTCTGGCACTCATAATGTTCCTTGCTTGCATTTCATCTGTCAAGTTATTGTACAAAGTGTAAGAAAGAATTTTTAAGACTAATAATAAATTATATTTATATACAATATTGAAAATTGAGCAGAAAGTATTTTTGTTTGAATTATGAGCTTGAGTAAACAAATCTTGCATCAGTGTTTGATAAAAATAGCCTTCAAAACACAATTGATGTATTAGGGAATGTTATCCACATCCACTCATACACTGATGAGCACATATATACAGATTAAATAAGCCATATGCCATGGTGGTAGGCAATAATTATTAATAGAGTTCAGCTCAAGTACAGTATTTACAAATGAACTGTAAGTGGAATGAAGAGTTCCAGTCCATCAGCGATATAACTGTTTAACCCAGAGGTCTTAGTTTCATGTTGAAATAAAAAGTCCTTTGAAATACTGTACAGAAAAATCTATTTCTGCCTTAAATGCTTTTTTCATGAATTTATGCTGAACTATGTTTTGCTATAGTAACATCTGACAATGAGCTCAATGAGCTTGACGTTTCTTTGGATGGACAACAGTCTGTATGGATAGAACTGACACTGAACATAAAAAATAGTTTACAATCTGCTGTGATAGTACAACGTGCAGTGACTGAGTCCAAAAACATAAGGCAGCTGTGACAGTACAAAAGACTGCACATGGAATACTGCTATATGGCTTTATAAAAGCAGGGCAGGAGCTTCCTCTGTATAGCACTGATAAGAGGGATTTTTTTAGTCTTCTTCTGTAAGGCTCCCAGTTTGCCTGCTCACCTGCATAGTCTGGACCTGGCAGCTACCCAGCTTTCACAGAAAGCACAATCTGAACACTTGGTCTGAGACAGAGGTGACTCAGGCAATGGGAGGTCAGATCTCCCCTGACCCAATAAATCTTGCCTCATTTTTTGGGTCCCTGTCCACCATTACCTCCACCACTCATCCTCCCTGTCAGGTTCCTTTGTCTGATCATTCACAGTCTCTTTTTTCCCTTTCTGGCCACTGTAAAGTAAGTGGCACTGTGCCAGTGGCAGTATCGAGTCTCTTGACTCAGTGTCACAGTTTGATGTCTTGGGACTCTAACATCTTCGCCAGGTTCTTCTTCACCCTCAGGGCTGTGAGACGAGAGGCTGGGTTGTGAGCCCAGCATTCCGACATCAGTTTTGCCATCTGTCGTAGACACTGAAAAGACATGGGTAAATATTAGGGGTGGAATAGTTCACAGGATTCATTATTTGGTTCGTGGTTTTAGGGTCACGGTTTTTGTTTTGGCTAGATACGTTTTTGGTAAAGCGAGGGGAGGGCACTTTTTTTTATTTGTCAAATTTTGGCTCTTACTAGTTAACTAATAAGGTCAAAGTGGCTTTAACATTTTGGCCTTTACTAGTGAGCATTTAGATTCTCACTAGTTAATTCCTGCTTGACTAGTCAACATGTCAGCGCTTTTGCACCTCACTAGTTAACCTGAAAAACTTTCAGCATTGCTGGTGCGATTCAGAGGGCGACTAGTGTGTCAAAAATCTGACTATTTGGGACTTTGGTGCTACTAGTGTGGCACCTGGCATTACTAGTACGGCTTCTGTTGGAACTAGTTGGACAAAATAATACAAGAATAAAAGTGGCTAAGGGTTTTTGTTCAACGAGCAAGACAATGTCAAACTAGTGCTGACAAAGATCGAACTAGTGGAGGAAACTGATATCAGCGATATGGAATAAATGCTCTAAAGGCTTGCCATAAGCTTGAGGTCTATTTTGGTTCCTCTGGCACATTTAGTGAAGCGTAATCTCCAGAAACTTCAGGTTAAAATCACTCAGAACTATTGCTAACTGTTGCTAACTTTTTAGTGGTATCTGTTCAGGCTATGCAGCTCTGAGCATTTGGTTCCACTTTCCCCACTCTGGGGAAAATCAATTAATAAACTTGTTCAAAAAAACATGAACCACCGTTTAAACTGTTTTTGTCCTGTACATTTTTTGCTGATGGACAGACATCTGTTCTGACCACACTTTCAGTGTGAACTCCCAGTAAATCTGTAGCAGACCAAAACAACAGCGGCAGATCCTGTAACTGTACCTGGTCTTCTGCGCTTGTCCTGTACAAGACTGACTGCAACTCATCCATGCCCATAAGTTTCACTGGGTACATCTCAACCCATTTCAAATGAACCAAACAAAACATACATGCCCTGAACCGTGAACTGTTCCACTCCTAGTACATATACAAGAGAATACAACACTACTTGTAACTTTAGTGTTTAAAAAGTGCAAGAAAACATGCGTATCACTCTTTATAAAAGGAGTTTGTAAGTTGTGATCATTTCTATGATTAATAACTTATAAGCCATTTTTAAGAACAACTTTGGGGTTTGCAAGATACATTTCTGTGCAGGGTACATATTCTCCAGCATAACATTTCTGTCTTTATCTTTAATTAATTTGGAAGATGTCTCCAATGGATGATTGACTATTTCAGTGAATTTATTAACAACTTACTAACATTTAAAACGCAAACCCGATGGTTGTTTTTTTTTTAAATGCAAGAATCCTACTACTCTTGACTCTTTCACTTCCTAATAAGTCACTTGTCTGTGAGATTAAAAATGTGGAGGAAACTATATGATATACAAACCAATTAGAAATTTTCAGCTACGTGTTACTCTTCATTAAGTCTCTTAGGAATCATGCATTGTTAGAAAGTGGTATCAAAAACCATTTAGAATACCTCATCACTGCTCCACCGATTAGCAAATGAAGGTCTTTGTTTCTTAATGCAGACGACTTCTCTCATGTCCTCATAAGAAGGATCAGTGGGCACAAGGTCATGATAGGGCAGCTGATATTCTTCTACTATGCCTGTAGGAAAAACAGATATGTCAGTGGGATTATTAAGAAAACAGACATATGTAGATGTTTTTGCTGACCTCCAGAGATGCAGCATCGGGCCATCTCCCAAACAATGAGGCCAAAACTATACATGTCAGCCATTATAAATGACTGGAAGTAGCTTCTGTTCAGAGTCTCATCCAACACTTCAGGTGGCATGTAGCGCTTTGTACCAACTCGTAGGTTGAGAGGGATATCCACCTCATTGGTGTCACTGAGACGCGGAGGAAAAAAAAGGAAATGGGTTAAAGGTATTTCTGCATGTTTCAGGTAAAATCCAAAACTCCTAAACTTAAGATGTGCTCAAATGTGCAAAATCCCTGTTGTACCTGTTAAACTTTACAGCTAGCCCAAGGTCTGCTATACAGCAGGATCCGTTCTTTTTAACCAGTATGTTTTTACTCTTCAGGTCTCTGTGTGCGATGGCTGGTTTACCCTGTGTGCCATAGATCTCTGTGTGCAGGTGACAGAGGCCTGATATGGAGGAGTAGGCCAGTTTCAGCAGAGCCTTGACATCTAAGCTGTTGGACTTGAGGTAGTCATATAAAGATCCATTCTCATGGTAGTCTGTGATCAGGTAAAGCTGAGTCCATGAGCCAGTTCCTTTAATGTCAGCTGCTATGAATCCTGGGGGTTGGAAAGTGGGGATGTTAGGATTGAAAATGCACAAGCCCATAAAAAATATCACATGACTTTGGTCACTTCTGGGAACATTTCACTGACTTGCACTCAGGCCCAAAGGGTTCATTCTAAGCTAAACCCTGTGAGAGAAAAGTTAGTTTTGTATATAGTTGACTCACGCTTTAAAGACGAGTACATATATCACCATTCAGTAACTCCTTGTACTTGTTAATTTCCTTTACCGAGTATATTGTCATGTCTCATCAGGAAGGTCTGATATATTTCTGTCTCTCTGAACCAGCTCTCCTCCTCTGTGGTGAAGAAGACTTTGACAGCCACTCTCTCTCCTCTCCATCTGCCCATCCACACTTCTCCGTACCGGCCTTTCCCAATCTGCTTAACCATCTGAATCTGCTTGGCAATTGTGCGCTGCACCTGACAGCAGGTTATTGGGGGGGAAAAAAATGTTATTTACCTTAAATCTTTTTGCATATTTTAACATCTTAATAGAAATATAGAAAATTGGAACATAATCATTACAGTTACTGTGTAACAACTTGTGCAAAACTTCCTTTGCTGGCGCTTTTTGCTATTAGCTCTTCTACCATGGAGGAAACTTAAAACTACAGGTAAATTTTAAGCTATGGGTGCCTTCTATCGATATGTGCAAAACTATAGTTAGGTGAAAATTTAGTATGATAGTTTGTCCACCTTCTGTGGAAGTGATTACAAATTTTACAAAATGAATGATGACAAACTTTGTTATGGTTGCACGTATGTGAAAATGTGAAAGGTTTTTTTCTTACAAATGTATAACAGTGGAAAAGAGATGATCACAATAAACAATGTAATTATCTCTTGGCCATTTTGCATTAGATATTAATAATAATAGTATGAAAGAGATTTCAACCATATTGCCTATCCCAAGCTGGAACTGAAAGAGTGATTTTAATTGTACAGACTGGGTTTGAGGAGTTGAGACAAATGCACTGCTCTTTTCTTACCAGTAGAGGGAGCCCTGACCCCGAGCCAGACCCGATGCTGCGGGACTGCTCCATCAGGTCTTTCAGAGACTCTCCAGGGGGGATGTAGGTCTCATCCTGCTCCAAATCAATACTGTAGTGTGGCCGTGACTCTTGGCGCTTGTGTCTGGTGCAAAGAGGTGATGTAATGTTAACTAAGTGCACATCAGGAAGTGTGAATTATTTCATAGGTTTATATCAAGTTTCTTACCTGAAGTAGCAGAAGACGAGGATGAGACCAAGGATGATGATGCAGACTACGGCTGAAATCAAGGGTGCCACGTTCTGCATACTGCTGTCCACATAATCTAGAAAATTGGAAGATATGTCAATTTCATGTAACTTTTTATTTACAATTCCTACATGTGAAAAATTCTGGTCTGAGTGAGAAGTCAATAAAAATAGAAGTGATTAATAGATGCTGACAGTCATTTGTTCACTGTTATCAACATCTTTCTAATTTTCTATTGGCAGGGACACACTCCTTTCCCCCTCTCTCTAACCCTGCCCAAGCAGTGATCAATCACATCCCCTTCCTGAATCTCACATATCAGGTGTCACACTGACAATACTACAGAAACCCCAGAGGCCTAAAGCAGCTCTGGAGCTCGAGCCTTTCTGTCATGTTCCTGTCAATCAGACACACACAAACACAAAAGAATGAATACAGGAGATACTTCACAGTGTACAAAGAACCACACACACACGGTAACACAAAAACACTGCAGTGTCTTATGAACTGCCTGCAAATTCATTGCCTTGAAAGATAATTCCAGTTTTTGTTTAACTTATCTGGAAGAGAAAACAAAGCCAAACAGTAAAGGAGTCAGTACAGTAAAAATTACTTGAAAATATCTAATAATAATAATGTCATTGTTTGTTTGAAGGTCATAAACATGTAATGGTGAGTGTGTGATTGAAACTGGGAGTGAAAGAGAGAGAGAGAGAGAGAGAGAGAGAGACAGACAGACAGACAGACAGAGAGAATGTGTATGTGTTGGTGTACTGCAGAGTGACAGATGGACAGATATCTCACATCCGTCCCGAGGCAAGAAACTCAAGCAGGCCCTAGGGAGAGGCTGTCCTTTTCATTACAGGGTGAGAGAACAACCTAAGCCTGCAGGGTCTGTATCACCTGCCTCCCCCTCTCTCCCCCTAACCCCCGGAGCAGCATGTGCCACTTCATTCCAGCACCACACTGTGGTTTGTAACAGTTTAAACTGTCACTACCCATCACCGACCAGCGCGGTGTGTTCTAAAGCCACTCACTCTTTAAAGTGGGACAGGATTTCAGTGTGTGTAAACCTGTGTGAATAAAAATATGTGTGCATGTCTTACCTGATGTCATGAGCGGAGGAAGAGTAGGATGCAAGTTCCTGTTACAATAATCTTGATCTCTGCAACACTCAATGGCTCTCCTGACAGATGCATTCTCAATGTCCTATCACACACACACACACACACACACACACACACACACACACACACACAGTAAACCCCATGCTCGTCTACACACTAATGAAGAGTAGCAAATATTTACGGTCACACTTACACATTTACGCCTAATGAGAGCATTTTACAATAGAGCAAAGTTTTTTCCGCTGTGTGTAAAGATACGTAGTTAGGTCTCATTTAAACAGTTCTCATAAAGAGCTGCAGCAAGCCAAGGAAAGCTCACAAAGACTTTACAATGCCTCATGAAGAAGGACACACGTACACCGATATGTGCAACTGTTCATCCTGGCAGAAATACAAATGCACATACATCTGACTTACTCTGCACTGGAACCGAAGGCCGTGGTGTCCCAAACACCCTGCACTTAATAGAGGCTGATTTCCCTCCTCCTGCACCATGGCGAAACAACCACCTTCCGTCCTACAAGACACACACACACACACACACACACACACACACATCACATAAATACAGTATTAATGGCCTGGCCTTCTGTTTATCACAGTCTTCATTTCTGGGATATAACAACTGTTTAATGAATCTGAATCCGTATGTACATGTGGGTATGCAAGTGTGTGTATGTTCCGTCATACTTGCAAGTGTTGTTGACGCTGTCTTCAGAGCAGTGAGAGCTAGGGAAGCAGTGGCACCGAAGCATGTACTGTGTTGAAACTGTGGCTGTGTTGCTGCTCTCCTCCCCTCTTCGCTCTGATTCCCCCTTCCATCCACTCTTCAGCAGCACAGTGTCCAGCATGTTGGCTGAGAAAGAGACTAGGTTAGTACTAAAGGCAGAACAAAACATCTGGACACTCCTCTGGCGCCAGCAAAGCCAGAGAAACAACACGTAAGTACACAAACCTCAGTAAAATTAAAGCTGGAATAAATCAAAAGATCCAAACATTTTAAGTCATTTCAAATGGTCTTTTGATTATGCATCAGTTCTGTGTGTCATGGCACCGTAACCATGGCAATGCAATCCACGGGCGGCGTGAATATGTGCTGCTGAAAGCCTCCCTGCTGCTCTAGAATAGGGTCAATGTATTTGCATGATGTCTGCAAACAGAATAACACAGCTCACCAGAAAGAAGTCTTTGTGCTAATTTGTGTGTGTTTACGTGTGAGTGCATATCTACAGTACTTGCCTGCAAGTGCTTGTGTATTTGTATGAGAATGTGCAGTGTGCCAAGTGTTTTTGAAGTGTGTGTGGTACATTGCTGCAATATTCAAGACAATATATTTAAAGTATTTGGCACAGATGCAAAAGAGGATAAAGAAGACAACACAGAAAAAGGAGTGATCCTTCAGCAGGGCTGAGCTTCTACAACATTCAGAGCTCGCTGTTAACACCCCCTCTCCCACCCCAAAGACGGCACTATGTCTGATCTAGTCGTCTCCTTGGTGACACAAACACTAATCCCTCAGTATGGGATGTACGCTGCAGCACCCCAAAGCCCTGTCTTTTTTTTTTAATTCCCATATCACACCACTCCAAATGGAGGAGATTACTGTAATCTGGGAACACTGGAGCAGACAGATTAGATTAAGATCATCACACACTTGAAATATGGAAAAAGAGGCTAAAAACACCTCAGTCAATGGGTTAAATATGCTTCAGACCGCGCGCACACACACACACACACACACAAATTTTATTTGTAATTTACTAACAGAACTGATGACCAGCTTAAAAATGATTAAATAAACCTGCTGAATGCCAAATGAATGAACATATGCATAAAAATTAAGGCTATTACAATTTGCTAATAATCCTTGTTCACATTCTACCTCTTATACTGTGAACGTTACCCACACAATGGCAATAATTTCCATCCCAGAATCAATTATTTTGTTGTCAGAACTGTTAAAGGGCTAATTATGAGTATAAAGTTTACTGTTAGCTACATATACAGTACTGTAAGTGAGACTTTATATTCCGAGAGAAGGAATAACATTTCTAGCAGGCACTATTGCAGTGAACTACTGTACCAAAACACGCACAATAGAGTCAAGTGCACTAACTGAGTACAGAATACATAAACCACCAGGAGGATGAAGCTTATTGCTCTGGATGTTAAATTTCGATGCTGCCACTTAATATGGTATCAATCCAAAGTCGTGCTTTGTACAAAATTTACATTACAATTTACTGAATTAAATCTGGATTATGAAGGAAGAACTGAAAAGGCTATTTAGGCTGAACATAACCAACATTAGCCTACAAGTATTGCAGCTTCTCATATACATCACTACTCATCTTTCGCTTCAGCAAAATAAACAAAACATATGTCACATTGGAAAATAATTCAGAAATGTATTTCTATACGATTTTAAATACCAAGGCTTTGATCAAGTATATCTGGGTTTGTCTTGACACACATTTTAAGGCATTAATGCATATGTCAATATCCCAAAAGAAATAATAATTAATAACCAATGATTAATAATCATTACATTATGGGAACTAATCTGATACAGTATGTGTTCATTGGTAGTACTTCATAATGTTCACAGTCATGTTTGCTGACAGTAAAAATGCTTAATGTTAAATCATTTTATTCTTTAAGAATTATTATTATGCAGTATAACATTTGTGATTCTTACCATCTGGTAACTGAAGGTGCATACGTTCTAGGAGTGTAAAAATAAAACTGGTTCTGACAGCAGTTTGTCTCTGAAGACCTCTATGGTCAGAAAGCTGAACAGTGTTGTGCCATGTGAGATAGAGGTCTTCCTGTCACTTTGCCTTATGCTCTCTTTCTTTATAACAAGATCAACTGACAAATTAGGTAAATGAGGGCCAATCCATCAATCAAATCTAAGAATAGCATCCTTCTACTATGGACCAATCCAATTATTACAGGTATAATAGATCTAAGCAGTCTGCAAAAAACCCAAACACCAACCACCTATTGAAGAACGGCCATGAGAATTCTCCGGACAACTACGTGATGAATGAGGCACAGTATAAACATGCTGACTATTCTTTAAATGGTACTCTGTGTTCTTCAAACCTAATCTGTGTTATTGTTCCTGTCACAAGGGAAGTGTGTGGGGGTGTTTGGGATCTTCCCTCACAGTGGCCTTGGTCTGTCTATCACAGCTGCTCTGCAAGTGCGCAAAAAACCCCATACAAGACAGGAATGCTTTGGGAATTTCTCAGGCATTCAGCTATATTCTGTTTTTTAAACTTTTACAACAGTAGTGAGTATAACAGGAAAGCTAAAGCCAAGGAAGGAGAAGTCTGCTGTAGAATAAAATTGGGAGAAGGCAGCGTTTTATAATCTGCAGCTTTGAAGAGATGCCACTCTAACAATGATCAAGAGCTGACCAGTGAACAAGTATGTTACACACACACACACACACAAGGAATTTGTTTCCGGTACAGAACCGAGGCAGCCATCTGCGGCGCCAACTCACATCGATAGCAATTTGGGGGTTCAGTGTCTTGCCCAAGGACGCTTCGACATGTAGACTGCAGGCACCGTGATTTGAACCTCCAACCCTCCGGTTGGGAGACGACCGCTCTACCCACTAAGTTCAAAGCAGGGAGCAGCGTTACCTCTTCTCTCCATCTAGTCTCTTGATAATCCAGAATTTTACATACAGTACAAATTAGTTAATTATGGTCAAAATTAGATATTAGATAAAGAAGATGAAAAACCTGGTTTCAGCTTCCAACAACAGTACAAATGACACAAATGGCTTTGTCCCATAAGTGTGCAACTCTTAAGACAGTTGGTGGAGGATTTGCATTCTGAATATACAGTTTGTGGTCATTTCGCTCAAACTTAAAGTACGCTGTTGTCAAAGAGGGGTTTGTGCATGTGGAGAGAGTTTGCCATGTTTGGTATGTATGACCAGGTTAACCAAGAGTCACTGTGTGTTCGACTATTAATGAAGCCACAGAATGTAAAGGAGAGGCCACCTCTATGCTTAAAGTCCTGCTAGCATAAAGAGCTTTTCTTCTTTAGCTAAAACACCACAGTGATAAAGAAAAAAAAAAAAAAACTTCAAGTACAAAATCAAGTATTTTATACTGAGAAGATGTTCCTGCAAGCACACAGACTCAATACATTGCTTTGAGAGTAGATGTGCAGATATAAGATAAAGGATTGGCTAAATATTAAACACACTAGTCCACAGTTTCTCACCCACATTTGGACATAATTGCACACATTTGTTTTCTTTTTCTCCTCACCTTACATGCACATACACAACAAACAGACTTGCTGTGTGGGGCTCACTCAAGGTCACCCCGAAATCTGATCAGCATCCTCCACACATTCCACAAGTTGCTTCCCAAACTAGACACACACACACACACACATACTTAAGGCAATTCAAAGCTATGAGAATTACTCCAGTTGGAAAACCTTCAGTCATAACAACTCATCACCATCTGTAGTACCAATGGCTTCAGCTTTTCCAGTTGTATCTGCATTACCGATGACAGTTCATCTGCTGGCTTTCACTTGGCTCTCATCTCATTTCATTTCTGAACACTGTCTGGCCCGCAACATCTTCTCCCTTTTTACTCAGTGCAGTTATTCAGTGGTGACAGATGTAACATGACTGTAGACTTTGCTCCAGTTCTATTATATCAATGATAAATGAAAACTAAACTGGCATGAATTTCTCCCACCAGATCCAGAGACTATCCACCTGCTCATATTCGATTATATTGTATATTTTTTTATGCTGAAATTTCTCCTTTTTCCTTTGTTTGCCAATTCTCTGATCCTCATTATATGTCCCGCTAGAAAGATCCTTCTCTGCAAGGCCAGTGTTGATGGGAACATATCCTTCTTACAGAGGGACTAAGGCTAGCGATGTTACTGGTAACGTAAAACTCATTCAGATTTTATTTGTGAGTAAAAGGCAAACAAATGAACTGTCAGTATTGTCTTGTGACCTTGATGCACCCCCCCAACCCCCCAAAAAAAAAAAAAAAAGACACCACAACAGACAGTGATGAGTCATTTGTTGGGCATTTCAGATAACATGCTGAGACCTTGAAGTTTTAGAAACAGAAAACTAAGCAAAGGTCTTTTTATTTGCAGCTTATTATACATGTTGCTGTGCACCATGAAAACATTTCTCTCTTTTATCTCCAACTTTTTTCCAATAAAAGCAATGATTCTTTTGACTTCTAATATACAGGATGTATCCAATTCCTAATAAATATTCCTGTTATCCACAGAAAATCTGGGTTAGATCTGTGGAGTGGAGATACAGACAGGTGACTAATTAAAGGAAAAATGTGAATAAATGAGTGGTCTCTTCCCAGATGACAATGCCCCTATCAATAGGACATGAGGGGTCACTGAATGGTTTGATGAGTATAAAAATTATGTGAATCATATAATGTGGTCTTCACAGTCACCAAATGTCAACCCAGCCGAACACCTATGGGAGATTTCGGGCCAACGTATTAGACGGCGTCTCCACCATCATCATCAACACACCAAACGAGCAAACATCTTTTGGAACAATGGTGTTCATCCCTCCTGTATGAGTCCAAAGATTTGTAAAATCAATACCAAGGTGCCCCAAAGCCTTATCCTCTGTCATCCATCTGCAATAGTATGTGATCTCACTGTTACATGCAATGATGTTAACAGTGATGAGATAGGAGAAATGTTGGCAGGTGGTTCAATTTCTAGGAAACTGTAAAACAAAACCTGGTTTAATTAAGGTCTTCCAGTTGGCATAGTTGTTTAACAAGAGCCAACTGCACAGCACTAGAGCCATTGTACCTGTGAGCTCAGACCGTCATACAGAGTGTTGATCACAGACAGAGGAAGACATGAGAGAGAAGGAAGATAAGTTACTCCAGGTGGCCATGATAAATCACCTCTTCAATCTTCCCCAGTGTCTCCAGAGTGCAGTCTGACCCCAATGGGGTCACAACCAACCTGCATAGGGGGCCATACATCCTCCTCCACCCTACTGCTGCACCCTCATCCCTCTCAACCCCCTAGAGGCTTCAAAGGCCTCTGCCACACAAGACACACACACGCACAAGAACATGTCTAAAGAGCACATTCCACATGCTCTCCTTCATTTCTGCTGCTACAACCACATCAGGTCATCTGTTTCCATCGTGCAGCTTCCCACAACCTGTTTTGTGTTTAGCAGCTGTGTCCAGCCGACCTTTGTGGAAGAATGAGACGGTCACTACATGTAGCAATGATGCCAAAACAAATTTATAGAGGGGAGACCTTTCTGCCAAAGCTCCACATTGTTCCCAAATAGCACCTTAAAAAAAAAAAACTAGTTCTACTGTCATGGTTTCACAGTGGTTTACAAATGGGTGTGAATCTAGCAGAGAGCTGCTATGTCCACAGCAAAATACTCAGACGGACAGAGACAGCCTGACTTTGCTATATACTTATGAATGTCTAGAACAGAGACCTAGACAAAAGAAGCCATTGTGTACAGAGATGTATTAAACATACTGAAAATGTTCCATTATGGAGAACATACTGTATATAAAACACTATTTTCTTTAAATACATGACTTTTTCAGAGAACTTAACACCTGAGTACATAAAATCTGTATAAATGTATCTTTCTGCCATAAACATTTTGTCCACATTATACTAAATAAAATAAAAAATACACACAATGTTATCCTACACAGCAGTCATACACAGAACAGGTATAGGTGCTGGTGTGTTGTGAAACCAACACAGCGCGAGTGTGTGTGCAGCTCTCATCCCAACACATTATCTCAATCCCATCTTCTCTTCCTTATTCCTGCTCCTTTGAAGCTCATTATGTTTTTATTTTAGACACCGTCTATCCACAGACCCCATCAAGGCAACTCGCTGCTCATCTGTCTGTCCATGTGGTCTGGATTTACTGGAAGAAGCCACAAGCCACTGAGAAATCCTGGGCTCCATTACAGACATATTGAGATGATAGAGCCACAGTGCCACCACAATATGTCACTTTACTCCATAATGTGACCTCTGCCAAAAAGTGGATATAGGCTTCTGTTTTCACTCAAGGTTGTTCAAAGTCTCTGAAAATTCTGACCAGATACATTTAAAGATTCACTTGCAACTGACCCAAGACCTGAATTGTAAAAGAACACTATATACACACACACCATAGGATATACTGTATGCTTATTCCCTTTCTTGCTATGAGAAAACCTACACTACTCTCATACAGTAAATATGAGGAGCAGCTAGCTAATTTAGCTTAACTCAAAGACTGGGAGCAAGGAGAGAAAGCTTTGTAACGTAATTCACCAACGGTACCACCACCACCACTCACTATTTAGGTGCTGGTAGATTGACAGGCTACCTGTTGCTCCATTTCAGCTCGTTATGCCAACCCAGCTGCTGGCTATAGCTTCATATCTACCATAAAGACACACAGGTGGCATCAATCGTCTCATCTAATTCTCTGCAAGGAAGTGACTAAGCGCATTTCCCAAAATGTTGAACATGGCCTTTAAAGTTCAGTCTTAATACTCTTGGATTTCAAACAGCATGGTAGCCCTTTTAGTACTGAAGACCCGTTACACCTCAGACCCTCTGAATGAAAAGTAGTGAGTTCTCACAAGGAAGGTATACTCATGTGGTACACATGCACACACACACACACACACAGACAGCCAATGTCCCAATGCCTGACTGCAGGAGCGGGGCATCTGCCCACGGATCAAATTGTGTGTGGGGGAACCATATCCACACCCTCACAGGAAGTAGTGCACGGAAGGCTGGAGGAGCCTGGTTCTGCCGACCGCTGCTGTTTTGTACTGCAGCAGCACTACACAACACTAGCACTAACCTAATTCCACAACACTCGGCTCCACACAGATACACAGTACATATATGCATACACATGTAGTATGTATAGTATATATAGCCAATGCTACAGTACAGAACACTGTCTTTACATTGTTTTATACCCGACAGAACACTCACCCTAGAGCCTGGAAATGTTTTACATACAGTTACATAGATTTCATACACTCTGAACCATATGCCTCAATCTGACTTTTCCTCAGTGTTAGTCACACACTGCACACTAACTCTATGAGGACCCAAAAAATAACCAACAAGTTCCCAGTGAAATCATGCGTTCACTGAGAAAGTGTAACAGTGTAAATATAACAACCCTAACTGAACATTCACAGTATTGTTTCCCCCCTCTCCTAAATTCCAATGAGAAACTTTACAATTAGAAGTCACTCTCAATGAAAACTCAAAGTAACTTCAAATCACAATAAACAGAGAAAGCAAAACAACCCCCCCGAATGCTCCCTCAGAGAGACACTGACATTTTCAGGCATTTGAAAATTGCTGTGAATGAAAATTGCACATGTTGTACTTAGGGAGGTGATTATACATGTGTACAGAAGACCAGAAACAGGCTTTAGTGGAGTAAAGCGAATGTGTTATCTGTATATAATTTTTAAAAATGTACCTACCGTAAAGGTACAATGCCAATAAATTCTTTATATTTACACTGCACTGCTATTGAAAGACTGGGGCTAGAGTTCATCTACTCTCTGTGAACCTAACCAGCCTAGAGAAACAGGTGGCAAACTGAACATGCTACTTAGATTTATGGGCAACCTCCCACATGTTACACTCATCTGAGCAACCTTTAAAAGACCAGATCACAGAACAAACAGAAAAAAAGCAACTGGTCGTTGAAGATTTAGTGAAAGAAAGTTGACAGGAGTGAAACTATGGAAGCCCAACACTACAGAAATCTTTCTTAGAGGCTCACAGCTTCATTTCACCTACAGCAACAGGAACAAGAAGAATCTCCTGTTTACAGTCAGACTGTAGGAAGAATGAGAATCATTGCCACGCTTCAGAGATCATTCTATCTTCTCACTCTACCATCCCTCAAACTCACTGGACTAATAATGGATGAGAAATTAAACACCTAGCTCAGTGTGGACAGATTAGGAGAGGAAAGTCAAGGAAATTCCCTGAAGAAACATTTCTTTAGCAGCTGAGGTATTTCATGACCCACTGTGAAAGGTAGATAGCTCAGAGCCACTAGTCAGTATGGGATTTAACAGCTGCTCTTCATTTTTGACACCATTTTTGTACCAGGTTTAAAATCAAAAATCGCTTTGTGTTTCAATGTGAAGCTAAACATATTTATTTATATTTTTCATTATTCTGCTGTTGAATTTTTAAAGCTATGTAAATTACTAAAGAATTTTCACAAATTCTGTAAATGTTACAGCTTTGATCTGAGATTTGTTTTACTGCAACACCTTGACACATCTATATCAGCTGAGTACTACAATCATACAGGACATATACACTTTATATGTGTGCACCAAGGTAACCATTTTACAGCTTGACACCAAACTGTGTTCTTATTAAGTGTTTGGCAAATGTTTAAAGCAGTGGTTAAATCAGAGATAATATGTATGCACTGAAAACAGGATCCCCAAAGCATAGTTATACTAAAACTCTTACTGACCTGACCAACTATCTATTTCCTTTCTTGATCATAAACAGAACAAATGCATAAGTGTCATCTCCTGGAGGCTGGGATCCTGTCGACCCTCACTGCCTGTCACAGCCTTACGGGGCACCATGACATTGTTGGCATTCATCGTAAAAGACAACTGGCTGTCCATCTTCAAACAATTCAAAACATGAACAGGGGGGCTGAGGGACTTGGGAAGGGAGAGGACGGGGCAGATAAATGCAGACCCGTCCTCGTGTTAGCCCTTGTGGAGAGCTTTTGCTCATCATAAATACCACATGACAGAAAATAGACGGATAACCTCAGCTAACATGATACAACCCGATACCTTAGAATACCAACAATAAAACGTGAAAACTGATGTCAGAAAAATAAAATGCATTTACCGGTCTCTCATATATACTAAAATGTGCTTCTTGCAGCTTTATATTACACATTTAGCCACTGCATGTCAAACCAAAACCAAACACAAAAGAGGCAGTGAATCATCAAAGCACCCAGCAGTGTCCAGCACAGTACTCACCATCAGACTCACGGCTCAGTGATGCCAGTCCAGTCACCAGGAGAACAGCCTGCCAGGCCCACTCTTGGGCCAACCACACCACCACTCTCATCATGCCAGCACCAACCCCAGCTGTTGCCTCCTTCAAATCCCTGAGGTGCTGCCACAACGAACACACCTGTGCAATGAGGCAGAGGTGTGAGACTGTGTTTTATATCCTTCACTGAAAGAGTGCCAGTCCTCTCTCTAAATAAGGGTCTCTCTGTGACTGACTGCCACTTTGCCTCTCTGCACTCTCAGGGACTTCCCACAGCACACTGCCGCCCTGCAGCATCCAGCGCTACTCCACACTGACAGCCTGGGAGAGACAGAAGAAGGGAAGAAAAGAGGGGGGAGGAGAGTGTTATTTGGTTGCTCACTCATTGTCCAGCCCTTTCTATAGCCAGTTAACTACAGAAGAAACAGCTGAGTATATCTGAACCAGTCTCTTTCTTCCACACAAATACTATACATTACAGATTCTCACATCACTCATATACAGAAAGGAGAATCTAATAGAAGGAGGCAACAGGGGGTGAACCTGGGTCATGGATGTGAGCATAGGTTGAATGAGGTGTGAAAGGCAGCAGTAAAACCATTATGAACGATTGCCACATGCATGAAAACACACAGCAAGTCAGAAGGAACACAGGCACTAAAGGAACTAAAGAGCACAAACTTATAGATGCCCTGTACATGTTTTGGTATGAGTGGGCCATGTGTGTCCAACACTGCTCAGCGTTGGTGGGAAAGACTGTGGAAAAGAACCCACTGAGCTGTCATAGCATATTCTGCCATTCTGCCAAAAATATTTAGAAAATAAGCTGTATTAAATTTACAAGAAATTCTGTTGAGTTCTGCCAGATGTTACCAGTTGCTCTGCACACCCTGTTTCTGCAGAAAATTTTCTTTATTGCTATAAATATTTTTTATATTAATTTTCCCTAACAATATACCAAAAAAAAAAAACCCACTAAGTCAAGGAACACAACATAGAAAAAGTTAACCATCTTCCCCAAAACAAAGTCAACCCTGTCTTGATGTAATGTGTATGGAACTACAGCTGCACGCACACACACACACACACACACACACACACACACAGGTGCTGCGTGAATGGAAAAGACCGGGCATTAATCTGAAACTTACAGTCTGGTATTAAAGCTCAGGCAATAGCTGAATTGCGCTTAGTTCCGCATGTGAGCTTGTGTGTGAAAGGGGGGAAAACACGAGCATTTGTAGAGCTACAAAAGGGATCAGGTCTTCACACGTCAGGTGATTAGAGCTCACACCTCCAGACACTGCCACAACTTAACAAATTCAGACTAATCCGATACACACACACGGACACACATGCAAACATGCAATACTGTAGGAAAAAGGGGTGATAACAATAGGGACACATTCTGCTGGTGAAAGAGTTATACGGGTTACAAGATAAGAGGATCAACTCACCCACTTGACAGATTACATCACTACAATATCTAATCATAAGCACCGAGAAGATGGCTACATTTCCATTCACATATGTAACATCCTTGTAAGAGGAAAAAAAAGAAACTGGTCTTGAAGAAACAGATGTTTATCCATTCCAAATGGTTTAAGGTAAGAAAAGCAATGCTGTTAAAACACGAATGTTAAAGCAGTGATGGAGAAGGATAAAACAACAACAGCCAAATGGGCTTCTCCGCCCCACACCTGTGCCCTCTTAAAGTCTGTGTGGGAACAGCAACTCCCAGAAGCCACTTCTCCTCTCCACTGCTCCAACAGCCCTATATCTGTCACTCCTCATTTGTGCAGCACTGTGTATTACAAGAGATAAGTCAGCCTATTCTGGAGCATGAATGCATGAGGATCAACGTGAATGGGTCAGTACAACTTGCACACCGTTCTGCGCTCCATCAAACTCCCAGCGTGGAGCCTCCCTGTATTCTCAGACAGTCTACGCAGCCCACGGGAATGGGGAGTCTAGGAGAGTGAGAAGTCCTGTATGTGGGGGTTGAAAGAGGGGCAGACTAGCTGGAAGACCCGTTTTCTGTGAAATTAACTCTTTATTTCCCTTCCTTTTACCTCCCCTCGCTCACTTAGCTAGAACTTCAACAGCAGAACCCATCTGTCATCACACACACAGAGTTATAGGATGATTAATACTGCTGGAGAAACCGCTCAGTCAGCACCTCAGTCTTTCTGTAAAGCTTCCAGTTTGTTGCAACTGGAAAGAGAAAGTCACATTAAAATGTACAAGGGTCAATTCAAAAACTGTGGTAAAGGGGCACTAGCTTCACATATTAACACCAGATCATTCATAATGGGAAATACTAAAGTTCTTA